GTTATTAATACAATGAATATATACCACATACTACGCGAAAATATCAAGTCATGTACTTGAAATTATCTTGAAAAAAACGTCTAACATACGTCTAAAACGCGTTTTTATAAAGACGTCTTTATTTAGACGTCTTTTAGCCTTATGATCTAGACGTCTACAAGTGCGCCTTTTAGACCTCCTTAAAGACATCTTTAAAACGTCTTTTAAACGTCTTTCTGCTTACTGGGTACTTGCTTAAAGTGTTATAAAAAGACTAACGACAAAATGAAACAGTTTGCTAAAAAAGAAACATTTTACTAAAATAACTATTTTACAAAACATTTAAGTTCTAACTTCATCTAAAAAATAAAAACAGGCTAAAATTAAAAAAAATAAGCAACAACAAACTAACAATTATTTAAATTTTTATTTTAAAAAATAAACAATATCAGTTCTTTTTGAAAATGAGTGTATCAGCTCCAATTTACTTGCTGATTTTACTCGAAAGACCGCGTGGAATTTATAACTGCGCTTAGAAAAGTCTAGAAACAACTTCAAAACTAAGAAATAGTGTGTTTTACATAATGGAGAACCGTAATTAACAAAACGAACAATAGGCGTTACAATGCGTAACTATGCGCACTAATAATATTAATATTCATTCGGCTATTAATATATATATATATATATATATATATATATATATATATATATATATATATATATATATATATATATATATATATATATATATATATATATATATATATATATATATATATATATATATATATATATATATATATATATATATATATATATATAAATTTATATTACTTTCTACTTCTTCTATTTCTAATGGGATCTCCAACCAATTATATGTATCTTTGCGTCCCCCATTAGTGATTGATGAGTTTAAGGAATAAAACAAGCGTCAGTTAACATTGGATAACACGAGAGCGTTAATTATTAGTTCTTGTTTCACACAAACTTATGTCAGATTATTTAGCAGCCGTGGCGCAGTGGTTAGAGTTCTGGCTCAGAACCCAGAGGTCCCAGGTTCGACACCAGCTCTAGCCCAACAAGCGACATTGGTACGGAAGGAGGCGTGAACTTCCTGTTAAATGCTCTCCCGCGGTGCTCTATGATAAGACCGTAAGGACTTCTGGGAGCACCTAAATACATCAGACCAAACCGAGAATGAAAAGAAAGCTCTATCTAAACTTTATACGAGTTGTAGAATAAGAAATCATGCTCTTCCAAATTCATTTGAATATCTGCAAGGAAGTTAACCTAATTGGAGGATTAAAGATGGAAAAAAAGGTTTCTAAACTGTGCGATCAGGCTAAATTCGATGGATTAAACAAAAAGAATGAAATACCAAATAAAAATGCTTATTTTCCATTACTTAAAGTCTTACTGTTCTTTATCTAAACTTAAATTTTAATCCTACGTCTTTAGAAAATAAATCTAATGAATTCCAAACTAGAATTGAATCACTATATTACCTACATATCATTGCAATCACAGAAATGTGGTTCAATTCTCAATCTTCTTTAACAAATCTTGTCAATTACACTGTGTACTTTCGAAATAGAACGTATCATGGAGATAGTGTAGCCATATATACTAGAGAAGATATTTCTTCATTTGAATGCGAGTTCAGTGATAAACAAATAGGTGAGCAAATAAGATTTCAAATTTCAAATGGTAAGGATATCTTGTTAATTTAATGTATTTATCACTATCCGTTTATTCAAAGTGACTTTAACTTACAAATCAATTAATTAAATGTTCTGAAGCTCTAATTGATGGTGGGAAACTTAAAAGTATTCTAATTTTTAGTGATTTTAATCATACGGATATCAGGTGGAATGATTTGGGTGACCAACGTAAAAATGGTAAGAAGTCTAGTCATTTTTTTCTTTTAGATGTTACCAATGATTGTTTCCTATCACAAATTATCACTGAACAAACTTGTTCCAAGAAGTAAAGTGTGCCTCTTTCTCCAATATTTATGAAGATCTTTGATTCTGACTAAGTGCCATCTCTGTGAAAAAAATAATTCGTGGTGTCACGACTAAACATCTAGTAAAACATAGCTTGCAACCGAGTAAAACATAACTTCTTATTTTGACATCAACATGGTTTTGTCAGATATAGATCGTGCATTACAAATGTTCTTAAAACGCTGAATATTATTACTAAAGCCTTAAGCAATAATTGACCAGTATTGCTTACTTTGCAGGACTTTGCTAAAGCTTTTGAATGTGTTTCGCATGTTTTGCTTTAGCTTAAGTTGACTGGCTATGGTTTTGCAATAAAGTTCTGGAATCGGCTCGAGAAAGTTCTTGACTGTGGAAAACAGTATGTTGTTTTTGACAATTTTTTCTTAAAATAGATGGATCTTTTAAGTGATACTCCTTAAAGTTTGGTCATAGGATGTCTACTATTTTTGCTTTTCATTAACAATATGCCAAAACTAGTTAAAAAGACTTGCAATTTTTTTGCCGATGACAACTAATTGGTTGCAAAAATAAAGTCAGTTTTAAATTTGGCGTATGTTCAAGATAACATTGATATTTTAGGTAATTTTAATTTTAAAATTTGGCTACAAATGCAAAGTCCTAAAGTCTCATAGAGGTTCCTTAGAATTTGACATTCTCCTGACAATATTGGGCACAAATGATGATTGCATTTCTCTTGAAGCTGTCTCTGTTAAAATTATTCTAGATGATAGGAAACTCAAATGGTCAGAACAGATTAATCAAGCTACTCTTAAAGCAAACTCTTACTTAAGATAATCAAAAGAATCTTTTAAAAATGGAATATTTGTATAACCGTCAAACTTTATACAGCGTATGTGCGGCTGATATTAGAGCACCAGTTCAGAGCCCTTTTCTAAAAAAGAACATTAAAAAGTTAGAATCAGTTCAACGTAGAGCAACTAAACTTGTTACGCAATTGTGCAACATGAACTACTAATTACGGCAAATCTTGGTCACAGCTCATTAGCTGAACCTAGATTTAGGTGATCTAATTTAATTTTTTTAAATTTTTAAAAATTTTAAGTCAACCTTCTTTAAGAATGTAGACAAGTGATTTTTTAAAAATGAGATAGTCCAGCAGATGGTCTTGTAGCGCAAACCATAAAATTGAACGCGAAGTTACCAACACAGACAAAGTCACAACATCTTCAAATTTTGAGTAGTACTAACATGGAATGCTATGCCTGCCTCATTAGTTGCTTCTAATTCAGTCAACGAGTTTAAAATTAAATATGAAAAAAGGAATCGTTCTCTTCCGAGTAGGTCTTCTATAGCCAGGCATGGTAAGACACTTGGCTTGTAGAAGTCAAACTTCTTTTGTAAAATGCTATAATAATTATAATAATAATAATGATAATAACAACAATAATAATAGCAATAATAACAATAATAGCAACAATAGTAATAATAATAATAATGATAATAAAATATTTATATTATATATAATGTTTGTGTGTTTCTTTTTTATATTTATTTTTTACTCTGGATTTTTGTATTATTTTTGCTCAAACTATACATTTATTTGTTCATGATTATGTATAAATTTTGCTAATAAAAACACGATTCGTCTTACACTTTCATACTTGTTACTTCGTTTCAATGTGAAAAAGGCTAGTTGAACTTGCCTTTTTCACATTGAAACAAAGCCAATAATTAGCAACACAGGATACTTATCAACTTTGCCAGAACAAGGTGGGTTATAGGGAAAAACAGATTTACACCAACAACCTACGTTTTCAACTACAATCAAATCATAAATTAAGTGTAGTAGAGGACCTACATGCAAATTTGCATCAAGTTTTAGAAAAAGATAAAACGAAGAAAAGTTGCTAAATGTATTTGAAGATAAAAAAGAAAAAAGTTAGAGTCAATAAATGAAATATTTTACCAATACATTGAATGGAGTCAAAGTGATTCTTTAAAAGAAATTTTATATATTTCCAAAAAGCTTTTACTAAGAATAAAACCAAAGCAACTTACAGAAATGGTCTCTGAGATACTTGCAACGGTTGTCGATGGCAAAATTATAATATGAGATTAAATTCAATTCTTTGCTGACAATTTAAATTATGTTGCTCAATGCATTTGTTGATTGAAAAAGCTTACGTTTCTAACAGAAGACAACAACTTTAAGTTAGTAAATAAAGTTTTCAAAAAATAGGATGAATATTTTTACCTTGTAGAAATGACCTTATTTTCTAAGTGGTTAAATGCTACTACGACTAATATCTTTAAAATGTATATTTTGGTTTTACAGTTAAAAATCAATAGTTCATACTATATTATACAGAGTTTCATTCTCTTATTTGTATATTTAAATAAATTATAATTAAAATTATGAAAATTTTAAAATAAATATTTACTTGTTCAAGTTTTTCGCACTTTATGTTTTTTTTGCCATTCAAGCAAATTTCGCACTCTTTTTAATACATGTTTATTTTAAATTTAACTCAACATATTAGGTGCCCTATTTTACTTTTTTTTGGTAAAATATAACCATATACGCTGCAAATAAATTTTTTCTAACAAACGGAAAAGCAAACTTATAAGTTGTTTAACATTTATAAATGCTTTATTAAAACTAAATTGGCTGAAACTAAACGTTTTTTAAAATGTTTAACAAAATTTATTTGAAACATAATTTAAAAAACAATTTTTTGACAGTTGTCGCAGTTGTTGCATATATTTTCTCATCAATTCAGTTTTCCTTCAGATTAGCGTTACTAAAACTAAACATTCAGAAAATGTATATAATGATTTTTCTTGCCTTAATAAACATCATTCGTTTATAGATAGTGCTTGTTCTAGTCACAACCCTTAGTCAATCTATATAGAAACGCCACTTCAGTTGGCTTTTTTGATATATTATTATTAAGTTTTATGCATAACTAAATTTTTGTAATGTTTATTATTATAAATAGCTTATCTAACTTTGCAATAGTGTATTTATAGACAAAACACTTACTTCTTTAGGTTTATGTTGCTGAAGTATCATCACCGCGTTTACGTGGAATAATGGGCGCAATAACTAATCATGCAATAGTTTTTGGAATATTTTTATATTCCTTAACTGCAGAATTACCTAATTGGAAAGTAAAATACTACTATTCTGCTTTAGTTGGATTAGTTGTGGTTTTCCTCAGCTTTTTAATGGCTTTTATGCCAGAAACTCCGAGGTGGCTTTTGGCTCATGAGCAACGAAAAAAAGCTTTTAAAAATTAGCTGTGGCTTTTTGGTAATAAATCAGAGGCAGAAGATGAATGCAATAACGTTGAAATAAATTTAGGTCAGAACTTATTGTAATTTACATAAATAATAATTTAAGTATATTTATGCTTTTAGTGTTAGGATTGTGTTGGTGATGGGATTGCCTATGCTGTGTTAATAAGAAAGCATCAAATAATACGCATTCTCTTAATACAAGAATTTTTTTACTAATAAAAAATATTGCTGAATATTGGTTACTAGCTTTATCCGCTTCTAAAATTACAGAAAATATTTTAAACGTTAAAAACAGTTGCAAAATAACTGACGTCAACAATAGAACGGCTTATTTCTTTTTTACGCAAAAGTTTAAAAAACGGAGTACAAAATTTAGTTTTATTAAAATGCCCATTAAAGACAGGGTCGTCCTGAAGGGGGTGTCGGGGGTGTCCCAACCCCCAAAACTGTCATATAAGCATTTGAGTTGGCACATTGAGCAAGTTTTGCTCAATTTACTAAAATGCTTTTTGAGTAGGCATTTTGCCAACCATATTTATATATTCATTAATATAGTTGACATTTTGCCAACAATATTTATATTAAATTTATAGTTGGCAAATTTAAATGCAAATATAGTTGGCTATATTCATAGTTGGCAAAGTGCAAGTAAAGAGCTTTTTTTTTTTTTTTTTTTTTTGTATCCTTAGTTGGCAAACAAATACTTTCACCCCCTCCCATGAAACACCTCTTCGGGACGGTCCTGATTACAGAGTGGGCCAGATGGTGGAAAAGGTAAAAGAAAAATTATTTTCAAAAACTGCATTAATATAAAGCATTTCATAGGTTAAATATTCAGCTTTTATAAAATGTATCTACTTTTGTATAGTTATCATACCATATGTTTCTAACCTATATAATAAAAAGCTTTTATTAAAAAACAAAAATAAAATTAAATGGCGATAAACAGATAAAATTTGTTTACCTTCATGCAGCACAACCTCGTCAGCTTCATATGTGAAAAAAAAAGAAAAAAAAAAGAATGCATGTTTGCATTTAAACAAGTTTCAAGAGATTTTCAATGAAGGGTGTTCAAATAAAGCAATACAAATAAAAACAAAAAAACTTGCTAATCCATGGATGGATAAAACATAAAATGTTCTAAAACCAAACAAAAATCATACAATAAATTTCTGAAAAGTTATAATACAGTTAAGGAAAAAAACTATTAAATATACAATTACTTTTATACCAATATTCTTAAAAAAAACTTAAAAAATATAATACAGTAAACAAATCACTAATTGTAAGTTTGATACTAAAAAAACAGGCTGCCACATTAAATTAGACTAGTTAATAGATTTGAAGCTTTATGAAAGGTGATTTAAGCTATTATTTGAAATATAAAAATACTCAACGTGGTAATTATGGGAGTAAACCAAGAAAGTTATTACTTTTTCCAGGTTTCATTTGCTAAGGTTAATAAAATATGTAGTTACTAAGTAATTTAGGTATACAGCAAATCCAAAAATAAAACATAGCGATCAAAAATTAAAATTAATGTCACCATTGAAAGCGAAATCCTCAAATTAGTAAACTGTACAAAAACGGTACCTATATCTTTTCTATATGAGATTAGTTTTGTCCAGTAAAGTGAATTCTGGCCCACCATGCGCATACTTTTTGAAAATGATTTTTCTTTATACCTTTTATGTATAAAAGGAAACACTATTAGTCTTTAGTAGCCACCTATAAAAAGCTTTTATCGCAAGAAATGGTGTAAAACTTAAAAAAATTGAATTGGAAATAAATAAATTTGATGAAAAAAAGCGCAAAACTCTTGAAATACAGCGGTACCCATATTCTCAAACTCTAAACGTTAAAAACATTTGTAAGTTTTTAACTTTAAAAATTTTTTGTATAATTTTACGAGCTGATGTTGCCATATTCCAGCGAAATTTTCTGATAAGAATAGTTATTCATATTATAAAAGTTCATTTTATTTGATGTTTTCTTTCTAATATATATATATATATATATATATATATATATATATATATATATATATATATATATATATATACATATATATATATATATATATATATATATATATATATATATATATACATATATGCAAACATAAATGTTTTTTAGCTCACCAGCATATAGCATCTGTAAACGACTTTAGCTCACCAGGACTGTTTCGACCTCTCATAATTGGTAGTTTATTATTTTTAATTTATCAGTTCACTTTAATTGGATACGTTAGTTATATGTCTGAGTTATTTGTGCATTTCAAACAGTTATATATTATTATGTTTTGCTTTTTACTACAATTAGTACTTTCATTAGTGGGATGCTTTTTAGTTGTGCGATTTTATAGAAGACATCTCCTTTTTTTTGGGAGTACAATATTATTATTTTGTAGCGTTGGGTTAGAAGTATTATACTACTTGATGAGAAAAAATGCTGGCAAAATAAGGTTAGCTTATCTTATCATATATGCTATAATATTTATAACTACATGGGGATCATTACCATGGATTATAGTTTCAGAGATATTTCCACCCCGTGCTCGCGGACTTCATGGTGGTATTGTTAGATCATTTATTTGGTTGGTATTTATTCCAATGAAAATATTTTTTCAGTGGCTGGTTGGTATAAATGGATCTCTTTGGTTTACTGGTAGTTTATCTTTTCTTAGTATCTTGTTTGTTTATTTTATTGTACCGGAAACGAAAAAGCTTACTTTAGAAGAAATCGAACAATAAGATAAAATAGTTTTAGAATTGCTGATTTTCGAACGTGAAATAAATTTTCAACTTTTTTTATATTACATCAAGTGTATACTTTTTGCTTTTTGTTGTTTAGGTGTCCCGAGAAGACCTAGCGGTCTTGTTACAAAACACCACGGATGTGCGTTCAACACGCCTTCTTCTTTATCGTTCCGCAAAAATATGTCCGAGGCTCGGTTGGAACCTGGATCTCCTGCTTATAAATCAAGCACTCTAACCACTGCGCCACGGCCGCAATTACGTAGCTGATTTTTTGCTATCTTATACTGAAAAAAAAAATAAAATTTGCAAAAACATTCTAAAAATATAATCTTTTTGTACTAAAAAGTAGAAAATAAACTTTTTAATTTAAATTTAATAGTTCCGTAAACTAAAGATAAACAGGTCTGCGCGAGGTTTATTTATAAAATTCTTATATATTTTAGTTTACGGAACTATTAAATTTAAATAAAAAAGTTTATTTTCTACGTTTTAGCACAAAAAGATTACGTGTTTAGCATATGTAATTGCTATATTTTGTTTTCTACTTTTTAGTCTTTACATAGAGTTTATTACGATATTTTGCGATGCGTTTGACTTGACATTTGAAATTAAGTCGAGCTGTTTCTCCTAAAGAAACGGATTATTTGCTGATTAAAAGAACCAAAATATTTTTCTTTTAAAAGATAAAAATTTTTTATACAAAAGTAAATTAACATAAAGTACAAATATTTCATTTGCATTGCAACCCGCATCCTCCCACAGATGTATTATATTTTTATTTTAATTTTAAAAATTAAAATAAAAGTTAACATAACTTTTTAAGTTACTTTTTCAATTTTATTAAAAAAATAATTAAAAAAAATTTATATATATTAGAAAAAATATTTAAAAAGAAATTACAAACCCGATTTTAAAAATAAAAAAAGTTATTTTAGAAGAGAACAATTTATAATTAAAAAAATATACAAACCCACAAGCCATATTAGCATATTAAATCCTCATATTACTGAATAAATAAGTTTTAAAATAGAGTGATTAACTAGAGTGTTAATAAGTTTAATTAGAGTTAAAAATTATTTAATAAGAAAATTAACAGCTAGTTACGCTGGAACTGTGTCGAATAAAAGAAATCGAATGGAATGCGTACTCGATTTAAATGTCTTCATGAATCTATCTAAAATTTTTAATAGAAAATATCAAGAAAACAAAACGCATCAAATTAGTCAAAAGGTTTCATCTATTGTGGGTAATAATAAAATTAGTAGCTTGACCTACAATGCAAAAGGAAACTGGGTAATTGAAATGAAACAAAAAGAAGATGCAATTATACTTAACAATTCAACTTTTCTATTATATGGTAGCATCCAAAACATAAGTTCTAAAATACGAAGCGATATTGGTCTTCATATAACCGTAAAATCTGACCCTCTTATTGATGACCATGAAATTCTAGCAGAGATGAAACCCTTTATATCTAAATTATATTCAATAACTCATTCAAAATATCGATTCAACAGAAACCTGAAAGACGGTCGAAGGTTAAGCCAAGCGTCAAAAAAAAGAAAAGAATGCATGTAACGAATTAGGAAGGAAGGCTCGAGAAGAAAACCCAGGCAAAGGGCGGTATAAATAAAAAGTTTAATTTTATCTCTTTGACTATATATGTTTATTTAATTATTTTTTATATCACAAAAAATGTCATTGTATACTATTCCATCTGCCATTTTATTTTTACACATTCCCTTACTCTTTTTTGCCACATCTGTCATTATCGTACCACTCAATCGTTAAAAACCGCATTCAAACAAAAATGGAATCAATCAAAATTTTTTCAGTCAATATTTGCAGTCTTGTTGACGTAAAAAAACAAACCAGAATTATTCAAAAGTTTATAAAAATGAACTTTGATTTTTTCTTTTTCAAGAAACGCATTTTAACTCTCAAGCCGCAAAAAAATTTATAAACCTTTGGAATAATCCATGCCATTACTCAAATGGTACATCTCACACAGGAAGAACTTTAATATTAATCAAAAATCTAAAATATAATTTAAAAGTAATTGAACGTTTCGAAGACCCTAAGGGTCATTATAATTATATTATAGTGAAAAACGATTACCACATTTTTTTAATAATAAACGTTTACGCAACATCTGTTTCGAGCTGCACTCGCCAAATCAAAAGAAAAAAGTTATTTAAAAACATATCTAAAAAAATAAAAATTAAAACTCAAATAATCAGTTTACTATACTCGGGGGTGATTTCAACATGGTTTTAGACGATAAAGATACTTGCAAATCAACAGAAGAAAATGCTTGTCAACATGTAATTTAAAAACTTTACTAACTACACTTAATATCGAAGATACCTGGCGCATTTTAAACCCAAATGCCCTAGAATACACATACAAATCAACAAACAATATATCTTTTTCTCGCTTTGATAGACTAGCAAGCACATAAGCAAACAATGACTTTTTCAGACCATCAAAATTCTATATGCGCCACCATTTCGATAAACAACTTAGACTTTGGAAAAGATGTTTGGGTTCTAAACAATAAAAAACCTAAGCAAATATAATAACACTGATAAAGTCTCAAAAATTATTAAATTGGATGCCAAAAAATTTACTATTCTGAAAACAAAACATCTGATTGGGAATTTCTAAAACAAGAAATAAAAAAAAAAACTTTTTTACAAAAATTTAGTAAATCTGAAGCTAAAAAAACACGAGTTAAGGAATACAGAATCAAAAAACAACTAAAAAACTTGCACTATAAGCCTAGAATGAAATACCTCAGCGAAATTCTTAAGGTAATACGTCAAAGCTTTGAAATAAATAAAATAAAAGGCGCAGAAATTACAGCAAAAGTAAAATGGAGAACGGATGGTGAAAAATCCAGCAAATTCTTTTTTCAGCTCGAAAAAGCAAAAACATCTAAACAAATCATCACTCTAATAAAAGACAAAAACGGAAATAAAAAAACAAACACTCGAGAGATTACTAAATGTTTTGAACAATTTTATAAAAAACTGTATAAAATCATTACAATGACGTCACACTACTAAAGTTATTGCTCGACACAGACATAAAAAAAAATCACCAAGCAACAACAAAGCTCATTAGATGAACCGATTATGCTTTATGAAGTCGAAAATGCAATAAAAACTATGAAAAATAATAAATCACCTGGAAATGATGGCTTAACGGCTGAATTCTACAAATCTAATTTTAGCCGTTGAGGTGAAAGTTTAGTTAAAGTTCTAAACGAAATAATAAAAAAAAATGAGATGTCTATTACACAAAAACATGCCATAATAACATGCCTTTTTAAAAAAGGTGATAAAAGTGACATTTTGAACTGGCGACCAATATTTCTATTAAACACCGACTGCAAAATTCTTACCAAAATAATACCAAACCGACTCACAAAAATTCTCCCAACCATCATAAACGAAAACCAAACATCAAGTATCCCCCATAAAATATTTTACCAAAACCTGGCGTATACCAGAGGCATAATATATATTGCAAATAAAAAAAATTTAGATGCCTCCTATGATATCAATCGACCAAATCAATGCCTTCGACCGTGTCGACAGAAATTTTTTATATGACTGTTTATCTAAATTTGGTTTTAGTGTTTACTTTATTAATCTTATTAAAACTTTATACTATGACATTACCCAGCGGGCACGCCAACGTCCATATGACGTTGTAAGGACGTCTTTTTAGAACGTCAAGAATTGATTCTTAATTGCAGCGCCAGATGACGTCTTTTTAAAACGTAATTAGGACGTCTTTTTAGGACAAAATAAGGACGTGTTTTTAGACGTCTAAAATACGTGAATTTAGGACGTTCAGAACTAGTGCTAAATGGAAACGCCAAATGACCAAACAACGTCTTTAAATAACCTAATTTAGACGTTCTCATTTCGACGTCTAAAATACGTGTTTTCACATGGCTTTACTTAAACGTAAGGTTCAAATATATATTTTCACAGAATTTCTTGAGAATAAGAAAAAAATAATAAATCGTTTAAATTTTTTAATAATATAATTGTGCTTAGTTTTATAAATTACAACTTAATAAACTTCTTCTTTCATTTGGTAATTTCCAAAAATCGAATGTTCGAACAGTTGACGTCATTCACTTTCTTTTTAGATTAGGTGCACTCTTTAAAATATTATCAGCAGCATTTAATTTTTTTTTTTTTTTTGCTGTAGGAATCAGGGGAGCAGTCTTAACCCTAAAAATTATTGTCAAGATAAGTATGTAAAAATAAAGGGGAAAGAAATAAATAACACAAACACACACACGCACGCACACACACAGACATATATATAAAATTATTACTTTACAAACATAACATCAAAAATCAAAAATTAATAACTTCTATTTCTAAATTCAAAAGATAACACTAGGATAATTGAATGGGACAATTTAGTGTAAGTTATATTGGGCTTAGAAGCAATTCATTAGTGTTTTAATCAACTTAAAAATTTTGTGTAAATTATATTTATTTGTAAAGTAAGGATTATTTATATAATTACAGATTAAAATTTTTTATGTAATTTATGAAAGGAATTTACCCTTATAAAGAAAACTAAACATTCAACCATAATAAAAGTTATACTACTTTTTTTTACATTTGTATCGTAACATTCAAGAAACTTGGCGATAGAATCATTTTAGTAAAGATCAAAACAATATTATATTAACTTAAAACGTTTAACTTTAAACGTTTTTTATATTTGATTATTCTTAAGATAAGTAACTAAATGAATAAAAGACTATATATTAGTTAATTAAAAGACAATATGCTATTATAATTTATATATATATATATATATATATATATATATATATATATATATATATATATATATATATATCTATATACATTATATATATATATATATATATATATATATATATATATATATATATATATATATATATATATATATATATATATATATATATATATATA